GGTCATTTGCTTCCACCACATGGATCTTAGGGATCGAACTGAGGTTGTCAGCCTGCCCTCCAGCCCTGGTTAAGTAATTTTTAATAAAAAAAAAAAAAAAAAAAAAAAACAACTCCACCCAGAACACAAACTTTACTTCAAGTATTAAAACTGGGAACATTAAAATACATACCATAAAAGGGATTGTAGTGACAATTCTGAAATTTTGATTTTTTTTTTAAACACAAAAATATAAGAATTATGTTTTTGGTTTAACCCCAGGTGTGGGGATATGGGACTGTTTGAGCCTGTCCACAGCAGCTGATTGTGATTTGCCTCATGCTGTAGCAGAAGTGTGGTTTGGCCAGCAGCAGATAGTTTCTGTGATTGTGTGGCATTTAGAATTCTGGGAACTTTTCAAAGAGTATATAAATGCTAGCGCACTGAGCAGCAGGATGGATGGTTGTTGGTCATTCAGAGGGTTTGGTGGTGGTTTGTTAGTAGTTGTGTTTAAAAACAAGAAAGAAATTAGATTCAGAGCTCTGTCTCTGTCTCTGTCTCTCTGTCTCTGTCTCTTTCTCACACACACACTTCTCTATCCTTTCTCTCCTATCTGGTGATGGGGGTGAAACGAGGGTGTTAAAGACTGAAAAGAAGAACCCGTAAAGTAGCTAAGACAAATCTCAAACGTAAGTTTGAATTTAAAGGCACTAATTACATATTAATGATTTTGTCTGCCTTTTTAAAAATTTAGAATGTTTTAGGTTTGTGGTTTTTTGTTTTTTGTTTTTTTTTTTTTTTTTTGTAAATATTTTTTATTTTTTAGTTTTGTTTTTTTTTTTTTTTTTTTTTTTTTTTTTTTTTTGGAAAATAACTTGAATGTCTGAAGTACATTTTCATTTTAAAAAGATAAGTTAAATATTTTTACTACTAATAGTCTCCCACTGAAAAAAATATTTTTGAGGATTTAACATTTCTTCCATCTTCTGTTTCATACTTCCTCAATTTACTCAGAAGTCACCAAGTGCTGTCAATCAGTAGCAAACCAAAGCAACACCACAGGAAATAACAAATGTTATTGTTGCTTACTTTTATAGTTCCCTGCCAGAGCTTTTGGCCACTCACAGCCACCTGTTCGAAAGAAGTTGGAAAAGGTACAGAGAGAAAGCATTATTTTGCCCCATGACCCTCACTGGATATTCAAGCTTGTCAAAATATCAGCTCCCTGCAAGAGACTGCATGTCAAAAATGCCTTCCCAGTAGCAATTATAATTTTCTGTTTACTTAATTAAAATACAATTATATCAATTTCTCTGTCTCCAACCCCATTACATTAAGCTATAAACAACAATGTAATCATCTACTCGATATAGATCCAACCAGGGATCTGCCAATGATCATCTTATGTACATGGACCCCAATTCCAGAATAAGGAATTTAGAAAACAGAAAAGAAAGACATTTGTTTTTCCCCAGTATTAGTAATTTGCATAATGTTTTAATTACTAGGTATAGTAAATATAGATATCAAAATAAATCTCTTTTGATATTCTCAGTGGACAAACTTAAGCAAAATTAAGTTTAAAAGGCATAGGAAGGGCCAGGAGAACTTGGTGGACCATTCCTGGAGATAGAGGCAGGCAGGTGTCTGTGAGTTCGAGGCCAGCCTGGTCTTTAGAGCAAGTTCCAGGACAGCCAGAGATACAGTGAGAAACCCTTTCTCAAAACAAAATAAAGCAAAGCAAAACAAGCAAGCAACAACAACAAAAATAATCATTCCAGAGCACCAATGTTAAGAGAGCTCATCTTAAAGATAATCAAAGACAATTTTAATTAAAACTTGGCTGAAATTCAAGGTTTTCTACTCAGAGATCTGTTTTGGTTTTTGAGAGAAGGTCTCACTATACAACTCCCGCTGGCCTGGAACTCTCAGAGATCCAACCACCTCTGCCCCTGCTGGGACTAAAGTCAGACATCTTTTAACACTGTCCCTCAGATCTCTTGCCGAATTGAAGGGGCTCTCCATGGGCACAGCAGTCCATACTTCTCACCACACCTGAAAGTCAAAACCCCTCATTTTATCCAGGAAACAAAAAGACTCTTAACATAACTTTGATGTGAGAGCCTGCTTTTAGTAGACAGGAGCACTTACCAAGGGGAACAAGACCCTTTGCAGGATCTGAAGGCAGCAAGTGGAGCCTGTTGGTACCAGCACTGTCTTCCTTGCAGGCATTTGGGTCTTTGTTTCTCTTCTTAAAACTTTCCAGTGGGTACAAACCATTTGAAAACATCCCTAGGCATTTTTTTCTCTTTCATGTGACTAGAAAAGCACACTAGGTCTAGTGAGATGGCTTGCTAGGTAGAGATGCTTGACCAGCCTGATTTCAATCCTTAAAACTGGAAGGAGAGATCCAATTACACAGAAGACTCCAACCTCCACATGCATGACACGGCATGACACATATGCACACAGAGTAATAAAAACATTAAAAATCCGGACACTGATCTCACAATCACTCCTCCAAAGCGATTGCGTTTAGATAATATACTGAGAGGTACAAGAAAACATCTTACCGGAGAAGGGTTGTGGACAGAAACATGTTTTTGTTTTAATTTCAGGTGTGGGATGTGGGACTGACTCAGATGGTCCACAGCAGGAACTACTTGCCTCCTGGGGCCTCCAAGAAGAGCTCTTTGACAGCTGTAGATGGTTTAAATCTGAGGACTCTGGAGAGAGAATAAATGTCAGAGCCCAGAGAGTGCTGGAGAGCTCTGAAAAAGAACAAGGCTGCTGCTGCTTCCTCCTGTGGTTCCTGGTTGCCGTCAATGCAGTGAGACAAGGAGTTGGAGATCTCCTGAGAGGAGGATTGGACGGGCTCCAAGGAACCCGAATACCCTAATCAGCAGGAAGCAGCTAAGAGAACTGCGCCCCCTCTCCCACTGATCCTTTCTCTCTCCTACCTGGTGTTGGGGTGTTGGAAGGGGTTGGGGTGAAGTAGGGAGAAAGATACAAGAAATGTAAATAAAAGTTTTTTTAAAAGTACGCCAACAGAGAAGGGTCTGAGGCCCTTGTCCTAGTCTCAACCATTACAGTTGGCTAGCCTCCAATGTCCGCCCCACAGACTTCCATGCCATAGGTTGGCAGAATAAACCACTATCTTTTGAAGAAAGTTCTAGGAGGTGAGGTCATCCCATAGGTTAGTGGGCATATCTCTAAATGGCCTCAGGAAAAGTGGAATTCTGCCAACAGTAATGGCACTGCTCCAACAAAGCAAAACTCTAAGAGCATCAAGGGATGGACTTTGATATACACATAAGTGCGTAGATAAAAGAGTAAAGTTTCCTGACATGAAACACTAAAAATGTGCATAGGAGTTCCCCACAAACTAAGCACACTGAAGCTAAAATAGAAGATGATCAGACCAAAATATCAACATCTCTGCCTAAATTTTCTATTATTCACAAACACAGAAGCAATTGTATTATTGTACTAGGCAAGAATCTTAGTCTACAGCCCAGGATAGCCTTGAACTTGTGATCCTCTTCCCTCGGCTTTCTGAGTGCTGTTGACCAGGTATGCACTATTATAACCAGTTTCAGAGGGGTGTTTAAAGACTTATCTACAGTTATGATAGTTTACCTAATATAGAGTTGTTGTGTGACAAAATTTCTCCCAGGGAGATGCAACATACAGGTCTACTCACCCCAGATAGGGAACCCACCACAGACCAAAGTAAGGACACCACCCAAGTCCAGCTTGGTGAAACAATGGGTTTTATTGGGCTCACTTACGGGAGTACGGGTGAGGGCTTGCTTACTGGAGCAGAAATGACTCCAAGACAGCTGCATCACCAAGGCCCACCCCAGCATGGGTGGTGACAGCTCACAAATGCTTGGAACCTGGAATACATTGCACAGCCTGAAGGCAGCTCAACAGATGGAAGAGTGTCCTTTCCAGGTAACTCAGCTGGTCTGGGCTTTCCTAAGAGTCTTCTTTGCAGGTGGGCTTCCTTCAGTCCGATATGGACTCTAGTTTTTATCACTTACCATGGCAGGGAGGGGCTTAGCAAATCTGGTCCGTTTCAGGGACTTCCTTAAACTATTTTGAATTGTTTACCTTCTTTCATAAACGACTTCCTTGCTGGATCAAATGTTACAATCTTGGAGAAAAGTGTTATTTAAGAAGGATATCCAGAAGGGGGAGTTAGTAAGACTTGGAGAGGACAGGAGCTCCACAAGCAGAGCAACAGAACCAAAATACCTAGTTTTCTTTTCTGAGACTGATACTCCAACCAAGGTCCATTCATGGATATAACCTAGAACCCCTCCCCAGATGTAGCCCATGGCAGCTCAGTATCTAAGTGGGTACCCTAGTAAGGGGAACAGGGAGGAACAGCCTTGCCAGGCCACAGAGGAAGACAGTGCAGCCAGTCCTGATGCAACCTGATAGGCTAGGGTCAGATGGAAGGGGTGGGAGGACCTCCCCTGTCAGTGGACTTGGAGAGGGACATGGGAGGAGAAGAGGGAGGGAGGGCAGGATTAGGAGGGAATAAGGGAGGGGGCTCGGCTGGGATATAAAGCGAATACAATGTAATTAATGTAAAAAAACAAAAAATTAATTTAAAAAAATTAAAGAAAAAAGGACAATTTTTTTTTGGAACTTGTTCTATCAACCAGGCTGTCCTTGAACACAGAGATCTCGGCTTGCCTCTGCCTCCATGAATCACCACTGTGTGGCAACTTTTTTTTTTAAGTTATCTTTAAATTTTTATTTATCTTATGTGCATTGCTGTTTTGCCTGCATATGTCTGTAGACCACAAGCATGAGTTACAGACAGTTGTGAGCTGCCATGTGGATGCTGAGAAATGGATTTGGGTCCTCTGGAAGAGCAGTCAGTGGTCTCAACCACTAAGCCATCTCTCTAGCTCCTCAGTAAATATTTTAATGAAAATAAAACACAATCATAACATTAAGAATCATTAAAATATTTTAATATTAATATACATTTTTCTTTTCTCCGAAAGACACAAAATTCTTATGTATCACTATTTAACAAAAATCCTATGGACATAAATATCAAATATTTTACAACCAGAACAAGTGACACATTTCAACAAAATTTTCTCTATTATTTGGGGGCATACAATATAGATCCAACTGGAATAGGATTGCTTCAATCTTGACAGTTATCTTTGTACCTTTATTCTTTCACAGCTCAGTGCATGTACACAAGATCTCACAGTTTATGAAACAGAGAACTTCTGTTTCTTGCCACATTCTCATCTTATTCACAAGGTAGAATAATCTTAATGTAACGTTTGTGTCGCTTAGAAGTCTTGGAACAGAGAGGTACTCCATGTGTGCATTTCTTGTAGGCATCAATTGTTCTGGAGAGCCATTAGGGTCTGTTTCCTCTGCAGACAATTTCTCAGTTTCAGTATGTCCATCCCCCATTCAAAGCGTTGACTAACTGCCTGACCTATTAACCGGGGATGTGCTATCTCTTGAACGGAAGCTCATGATATGTACTCTTTCAAATTAACGGATGAGATAGCTTAATAAATGTAACCACCAAGGGCTGAAGTGAAGGGGAAAAAAGTCCAAGAAAAGGTTTTCCTATCAACATGCACATCCTTCTCATGCATCCATCACAGTGTTGGTGAAGAAAAGGAAGATTAATCTTGAGAGAACAGAGGAAGTGTCTCACCTAAGTGCTGGCTCTGTTTCCATGGCTGGGTTGCCAGTTTTTCATGTACATTTCTATTTTCCAACTTTCTGCATTGTAAGACACATTTCATTAGCTGAAACACACACACATAAATATATATAGTATACAGCATAGCACTATACATACAAATACAAACAGTAACAGCAGAGCACCACACACACAAACACACACAGTACACAGTACACAGTATGGCACTTGGCACCAACTCAACATGTTTGTGAAGTACATATGAAGAATGTAAGGCACTTTCGCGGTTTACAAAAGTGAATGCCTCCAAGTTAGATATTAACCAAAAATGGAGAAATGTCCTCACAAAGTTTATAGAAATTCTGAAAACCCAAGGATATAGTAATTCTGGCCAACACCTTGGGAACCTTAGAGTGACCAAGAGACTGAGGTATGAAATAATTATTTAAAATTATACAGTGCCACACCCAACGTCAGGATTTAAACTGCTCTTATAAAAACATGGTCCTCTTAGGGACTTTCATTTCTCAGCCAGAGAAAACTGTAGTGTAGGAGAGAAATGCACAGGTACACTGCTAATCAGATGCAGAGATGATGTCGCACTGTGTGACATAGGCTTACAAAGGGCCTAAAGGACTGGCTTTGTTTTAAGCTATTTAGAAATTCCATTTATTTTCTTGAAATCAAGCTCTTCCAATTTCTAAATATAAACCATTAAATAATGTAAGCTTTCTTGACTTCAGATTAAAAGAATGCCATATCCTACAATATACTGTGACATATTTTTTCCAGAAAATATTATAAAGCCAAACACTGATTTAGGGAACAGTCCATTTTTTTATGCTGTCTTCCCAAACGATCTGCGGGATCTTCCTAAATCACGGTAGGTTGGGGTAAATCTCTTATAGATTTAAGGTTCCAGACCAGGAACAGACACACTTTGCTTCTTTGTTCACAATATGGACCTGAGTTTTAAAAAATTATTATTCTGTTATATCCTGTTAATAAGTCATTTATTTTAACCTAGATAGTATGGTTTTTAAATCATCTTCTTACATCATAATTTAGAAACGCAGCTGGTAGACCCTTGTGGCTGATGTTGGGAAAACAAGGCAAACGCAGCTCCCGTCCTTGTTCACAACTTAAATCTTTGCTGCACTTCGTCTGCGATCAGTCTAGAAATTGCCAGGGAAGAAGTGGCTGCTGGAGAAGGTGCATTTCTCACATGAAGAACATGATCTCCAATTTCCCCAGATCCTCCATCAAACACGAAATCATCTACCAGATTTCCATCTCTGTCCAGGGCCTGGGCTCTTACTCCAGCAGGGCCTCTGCACAAGGAAAACAAAGTGTTAATTATCTGAGCCAAAGACAGAGTTGGCTCACGTTTCCAAGGAATTCCTAAGGCAATAAAGTCCTCAATGTAAATGCAGTTGTGTGGAAATCCACTTGCTTTATGTTCAGCGGAAGGCTGTGGATGACACTGGCCAAAGTACAGCCTGAGCTAGAGCAGAACGAACATTAAGTAACTGTGTAACAAGTACTACCAAATAAACATCCAAATAATTACGTTACTTGTAATATCTGTTCTTTCCAAAAGGAGCATGCAAATTCACATTTAACAAATTTTTATTTAAAAATCATAAGATAGACTTATTCTAGAAGTCAATCAATGGCAACTGTGGGAATCAGTGGCGGCAGCAGAGACTTTTTATAAAGCAGGTTGACATGGAGCCTCAAAATTCTCACTGTTCGGTATCTTCCAGTACCCGTCGAAGTTCACAGGCTTTGGGGGACTGACTGGGAATGGTTCGTGATCAGCTACAGAGAGAAAGGGAGCATTCTCGACCTTGAACTTCTTCATCCTTGTCTCTACGTCCTGAGTGCTGGGATTATAGGCATGTGATTCCATGCCCAATTTATCCCAGTCCAGACTCCACTTTATAACATACAAGACTTTTTTAGATTTAGAATTCTGCAGGTTCATAAAATAGTTAAAATTTACAAATGAAATTTGAACTAACTGCATTTAGAATCCAAAAATCATCTCCTTTGAAAGTGTTCACTTTCAAAACATGGCATAAAAAAAAAAAATCTATGCATCATCAAGACATAAGAAGTCAGGCAATCATAAATAGTTTTGATTGATTCTGGGACATATGGATACAAAGAGCAGCAGGATGACCCTGTCCTCTAGAACTCAGCCTGGCTGAACAAGGACAAAATCTGCTCCTATTGACCAAGCATGTGCTGGGGACCCTCTCGTTTATCCTTACAACTGCTCTAAGTCTGGTGTAGCATCTCAGTGACCTCAAAGAAACACAGAGATTGAGTACCTAGCCTGGAGCATTCAGTTCCAGTTCTCTTAGAAAGCTGAGTAAGAATTACAAGTGTGAGAAATTGTGCAATAAAGGTAAAGGATTGGCTCTAGAGAATCAGGGTTGGGAGAGTTTCCAGGTGAGCATCTGACACAGCAGGTGAAGGGTAAGACGAATGGCACAGAAACGAGCATTTCCGAGGACAAAGATATGTGCTAGCGTGAGTCCCTTCTTTGCGATCTTTGTAGCTTATCTAACTCGTCAGTGGCACTCCTCTGTTTTCTTAGCCAAGATTACAGCTGCTGGTTAAAGCGGTCTTCTTGTCTGTGTCATCAGAACACAGTGTGCGCTGAGGCAGCGTCACTTCCCTCTGTACAGAGACCCAAACCGTATAATCCCTTACTGCTGAGCATATTGGAGTTGAAACTGATTAACCACAGCATTAATGTATCTACAGTAACTTCTCATATAAAGACGAGTTTTCCCTCAATTCCTTTTGCTTAAGTGTTTAAAATCTATTAGTCAAACTGAAAATAAAACGCCGTGCTTTCCTTAAGAACTGACTGCACTTCAAGCCAGCATGAAATGTCTAAACTACTGAGCACCTGGGTTTCACTTTCAGCATCTGAGGAAGCCTTATGTTCTCTCCTGCAGAGTTATATGGGGGCTTTCCTTTCAGAAGACTTCAACCTGACGTAAGCATTACAATTTGAAACCTTAGGAAAGATAAACCAAAAATGCCTTGAAGGGGGCTGGAGACATGGCTTGGAGGTTAAGAGCATTGGCTGCTCTTCCAGAGGTCCTGCATTCAGTTCCCAGCAACCACACGGTGGCTATCAACCATCTCTAATGAGATCTGGTCTCCTCTTCCAGTGTGCAGGTGTACATGCAAACACAACATTGTATACATAATAAATTTTAAAATTTATTATAAATTTTAAAAAATGCCTTGAAGGCAGACAACGTCTTGTACAACACCTTTCTCACTCCATGTCTAGATTTAAGTATCACAGTTTATACACATTCAGTAAGGCTACACACTATATTTTTAACAACTTTTTAAGAACTAAAAGAAAGATTTAGCAAATTAATAACTGGGAATTCAATTATACTGAATATAGTGCTTGCTATTGGTAGCTACATATAATGGCAAGGTACATCCTGGATACTAAAATATGTTCAGAAACAACACACCTGAATACACAGCTAAGTACACCATTCTTCCATCTGAGCTACCCTGCGCTATATTACTGTCCCAGGGCATGTGGAAAATAGCGATGAAAAGTCATAACTGACCTCTCCGGCTGGTCCTAAATAGGAGAGCCGGGAACTTGTACAGCTCATGGTCGGAACTAGTACCATGTGAACACTGGGACGTGCTGCTGCGGAGAAGGTAAGCAAGCTCAACCTAGTTTCCGGACGTGAAGGAGCAGCTATTTTCCCTTCTGCTCTTTGACAAAACTGGACTGTGAGAAAGTATGACTTTGTTTATTTATTCGTTTATCTTTGGTTTTTTGAGACAAGCTTTCTCTGTCTAACAGTTCTGGCTGTCTTGGATTCGCTTTGTAGACCAAGCCTGCCTTGAACTCGCAGAGATCTGCCTGCCTCTGCTTCCCTGAGTGTTAGGATTAAAGGTGTGTGCCACCACCGCCCGGCGAAGAATATGGTTTTTATCTTGGCTCATCTTTCCTTTCTTTTCTGGCAGGTGGTAGGGATGGAATCCTATGCCTTGTGTGTACGAGGAAAGTGCTCCACTACACCGCAGCTCTATATGCCTGTGTTAGGACCTAGGACATCATGAGATCCTATAAATGCTCTGGAAGAGGCTAGATGATACCAGGGTTCTATGGTGGGGGCAGAGGGGAGCTAGTTGTTAGGGTCTAGCTCTGTAACTTACCTGCTGACTCTCGGCTGACTGAGTCTCTGTTCAGCAGGACCTTATCTGTGGGAATCCTGGGCATATGAGTATGTCTAGGGGTGTACTTCTGTACAGGTTTTGCATTTGTTTTTATCAAGTGCTCCCAGGGGAACTTTTTAAAAAAAATGTATAAAAGCAAATAGAACTTCTATGTATGAATTACTATTAGCATTTTGTATGACAAATTTTTCAACAATTATGCAAACATAACCATTTTTTTTATCCATATTCCCACCCCGTAACTTTTCCCAAAGGATTTAAGGCATACCCCTGGTGACATGCCATTTCATGTCAATGTGTATGAAAACTATGCTTATTAATAAAGTAGCACATTTAGTATTGACAATATTCAGCCTGTATCAACCAAACTGACCTTAACTTTTCACTCTCTACCTTACGGGGCGGGGCAGGGGCAGCGCAGTGTCGGAGAAACTGAGCTTCAAGCAGGATCACGCATGTCTGGATCCACTTTTATACATTAGCTTCTCTGCTTATGGTCCTTATGCATTTAAATTCTCACCTAATTTCCAAGGATGGACCAACAAAATTCCTTAGTATATTTTGGTACCGAGGGACATATTTTTTCTAGATTTCTTTTTTACTAAGAGAGCCTCAGTTTTGCTGGTCACGGTGGCGCACGCCTTTAATCTCAGCAATTGGGAGTCAGAGGCAGCCAGATCTCTCTGAATTCAAAGGTCTCCAAAGGGTTCCTGATCAGACAGACTACAGAATGAGACCCTGTCTCAAAAATACAAAAAACAAATAAAATAGAATACCTTAGGGTCTAACTTACATAGATCAAAAGCCCCCTTTCTACTACGTGGGGGGAAATGAAAATAAAGCTCCTAATGCTATATTATCTTGTTATGTGTGATGGACATATATAATTTTCAAATTTCACTGAACACTTTATTGCATACATATTTTATTGCAAGTGAATCACACATCAACTAAAGATAAACTTAATGGGAAGAGCATATGATAGGGAGAAGGACTGAAAACCGCCACCTGTGAACCTAACACAGCCACTGTGAGAACCGCTCACGGCAGCTGTAGCTGCCCACGCTAGGTGTGCACAAGAACAGGCCTGTTGATAGTCAGGTATAAACGGGATGACCTGAGGGGGCTCTCCCCTCTCTGCTGACCTTGTGCTGACTGGTGAACCCTAGGAGGAGAGGAGTCATGGCTCGCAGCTGTGTGCCCACTGGCAAGCCCACAGTCAACTCTGATTAAACTCTGCCAGTCACAAAAGAAAACAGAAACCATGATCTGGAAAAGGGGGTTGAGAGGAATGAAATGGAGGCAGAAAAAAAAAAGGGTGAAGGAGAAAGAAAAGAAATAAAATGTTATCAAATGCACCGTATACATGTATAAAATTGTAAAAGAATAAAGGAAATAAAAAAGGCAAAGAAAACCTGGGTGGTAGTGGCGCACACCTTTAATCCCAGAACTCGGGAGGCAGAGGCAGGGGATCTCTGTGAGTTCAAAGCCAGCCTGATCTACAGAGTGAGTTACAGGACATCCAGGGCTGCACAGAGAAACCCTGTCTCAAAGGCAAAAAACAAAAACAAAGGGCAAAGAGGCTGTAACCCAAGCCTCTTAGTTATTAAAATCTTCTGCGCTAGGGCAGCATCAGCACAACCGCTCTTGGAACACAGGTTTTCAGTTTCTTCTGCTGGGGTGTATGAATAGCCCCTGCTTTCCCTCAATGTCAGCTATATGAGGAGAGAGCTCAAGGATGTTTCTTATATTGTCTCTGAATTTTGTAGTGTGAGGGTTACTTAATTCTCTAGACTAGTGGTTCTCAACCAAGGGAAATCCTGCCCCCTAGAGGATACTGGCAGTATTTGGATACATTCTGGAGTGTTAGAAAAGGGAGCATGGGTTAAAGGCCAGGGGGGCTACTAAATACTCGGCAATGAGCCAGATAGGCCTCACAGCGAAGAATTATCTAGTGCAAGATGTCAACACCACCAAGGTTATAAAGGTGGCTTGCTTCTGCAATTTATAATGACATAGTTTTCCTTCTTGCTTGAACTTTTACTTTTGAAATCCTTAAGACATTTATTAGGATGATACATAGGGAAAGGATGAGTCATTGAATATATGACTTCGTCTTTTTACATCCTTATAGTGCTGACAAACTGCAGTACTATTAACATGTAGGCATCATATTAATCAGAAAATATCTTAATGAGCATAGAGCTAATATTAAGAATTTTAGTGACAAACCATTTAATAGTACGTTTGTACACCTTATGTATGTATCTAACAGCTAAAAACTTTACAATCCAGTCTAATGTTAATGTATAATAGTAAGTTATTGTTCACAATGCTTTTCTAAGCTTTAAATAACAATCAGGACAAATGTCCTTTTGTAGCTACTGATATTTAAGGGCATAATTCTGAAGTGGCACAATGCACCAAGTATGGCTTCTATTAGCTTGTTGTTTCTTTGCAGCACTGGGCTCCAAATCAGGATTCAGGTATGTATGCTCTGTTAGCTTTTACTATCTAGTACCACTTGTATGCTTATGGCACAATAATAACAGGACATTTATGGTTTGAATACACAGGGTTGCATGACAAATAAGACAGGACTGAGGCTTCAGGCTGTGAAAAGTACTGTTGATCTTATTATCATTTAATATTTCAGGCATATTATATAGATACATATATGTGTGCGTACATATATATATATACATATATATATATACATATATATATATATATATATATGCAACAGATATACCCTTTAATGAAAGCAAGAAATAAAAAATAAAAGAAGCTTGACGTGGTGGTTCACACCTGTAGTCCCAGCACTCGGGAGGTAGAGGCAGGTGGATCTCTGTGAGTTCAAGGCCAGCCTGGTCTACAAATTGAGTCCAGGACAGTCATGACTACAGAGAGAAGCCCTGTCTCGAAAAACAAAACAAAAAGAAATAAATTAAAAAATTAATTTTAAAAAGGAAATAAATAAAAAAAGGAAATAAATCATCAGAGATATGGTAGAAGTCCATTTGATATTCACAAATCCTAATCTTCCTTCCCTCTATTTACTGCCTTTATTTTCATAGCAATCCATAAATAATATATTTTGCTTTTTTTTTTTCCAACTCGTACAAATCCTTGTTTTTAGCAATTTCCTGAATTTGCTAGCTGGAGGAGTCAGTCTCAATCAAGTGAGGGAACAAATAGGATTATATTCAGCACCTTTGTCCCTGTCATTTACGATGGAGTTCACTGTCCCCACATGCACCTGCAAACGGGTTTGCCTCAGGCTTCTGTAACGGATAGTAACTGAATATGGGCAGTGAATTTACTGCCACAGTTTTGATACAGAATGCCAGATGCCCACCCATCCAAAGAGTATTAGCAGCAGTCAGAGAAACCTGATTCAACCAGCCTGTTTTCACCTTTAAGACATTTTAAGTCTGTAACTGTAAACCACTGAGAACATAAAAGGCTTTATTTATAAGTAGACACAAGAAAATAAAGCCTCAATATTTTCATCCCTTCCATTTTAGAAGGTGAGTAGAAGAGATAAGAAAGAAAAGAGGAACTGGGTTTTTGTAGTCCTTCTAAAGAATCAAACAGAATGGTCTCAGAATGACATGTTAAAGACAGAGTTAGAGCAGGAAGATCCCCCTACCTCCCACCCCTAAGAGAGACAGCTGACATGACTGTTGTTCTTTCCAGATACACAGTCAAGCTCACTGACATACTATACCAGGCTACTTTCAACAGCTGCTCCGAGAAAGTAGACAGTTGGTCATGGAGGGATGTATTTTAACACAGTACAGACACATTATATTATAACACAGTACAGTAGGCACTAAAATAGCACCAAAGAGGAAAAATACATAGGCTTAATGAATTCACAATTATCTACACATCCAGTCGACAGTCTTCAATTCTAAGAAAAACAAACAAACAAACAACTTTTCCTGATACCCCTGAAGCAGATTTAGATCAAATATTGAACTGAAAAAAAAAAAAAAACCAAAAAAAAAACAAAAAACCCTTTCTTTCTTTTTTTTTTTGGGTTCTTCCAGACGGTTTCTGTATGTAGCTCTGTAGCCTTGGCTGTCCTGGACTCACACTGTAGTCCAGGCTGGTCCTGAACTCAGAGATCTGCCTGACTCCGCAGCCCTGAGTGCTAGGATTACAGGCATTCACCACTGCCCCCAGCTAAAAGTATCTGTTTGTAACAGTGGAGTGGCTCAGCCCTTGCACACATCTTTAATCCAAGAGCTAAATAAAGTCAACCATAGGTCAAGAGGCAGAGCAAGCAACCAGTCAGAAAGGGATTGAACATAAGTAAAGAGAAATAAGGGACACTGAGTTGAAGGTTTTTAAGACAGAGTGGAGAAGGAGAAAGGGCTTTTTCCTTCAGGATGTCAGCCGAGAAGGAAGGTCAGCTGGGTGCTTTCTCTGCCTCTCTGAGCTAGCAGGCTTTCACCCCAGCAACTGGCTCCTGAGTCTTTATTGGTAAAATCAAATGTCTGAGATTTTCTTTCATTAAAACAACAGACTATAGCCACACTACTTCCTACTTCTGTCCTACAAGCAAAGTTGACACAAACAGGAGAGAGGGGCTAGAGAGAGACTCCCTGACTAAGAGCATGCATTGCTCTTAATCCAGTTTGATTCCCAGCACCCCACCACGGCGACTCACAGCTCCTACAACCTCAGTCCTCAGCGCCTCTGGTCTCCTCAGGCACCTGCACTCATGAGCACATAGTCCCCAACACACACACAATTAAAAATAAAATAAAACTTAAGTAGAGAAGAAGAAAGGCAAGAAATATATGTCTAAAAGGATTTTAAGGCTCAATCAAGGTGACACACAACTGTAATCCCAGCACTCAGGAGTCAAAGAAGACAGAGTCCTGTGAGTTTGAGGCCAGCCTGGTCTACAGAGAGTTCCAGGACAGCCAGGGCTACACAGAGAAACCCTGTCTCAAAACAAGAACAACAACAAAAGGGGTAGATGATCATGAACAACAAGCACTAAGAGCAAAAGGGATGCGAACCTCTTGGGAAAAAGAAAGCAAAGATTCTGAGGCCGTGGCACCTGAAAGCCACCTGAACGCGCTACCAGCAGCAGACCAGCCTCAAGTCACTGTCTTCACCCCATTTTCTTACCGAAGTACATCGCTGACGGTAATTTCAGGAATGAACTTTTGAAGATGCTTCACTGTTTCACTGAGGAAACAGGCTTTGTACATTTCATTAGCTCCATAAGAGAAATTCTGGAACACCAGTTTAATGAAACCACTAAGAAAAAAGAAAAAAAAAAACCCTTTTGAGACAGAGAAACCTTTTATTACTATAAAATATCTATACAATTTATGAAAAGCCAGAAAAAATTACACAATAAAGAAACTTGGGGTCAACATAAGGAGAGGAACTCATTCATACTCAAAATTTATAAGGAATGTGGTTTCAACCTGGTAGTCTATGAAGCTTGATAACATTAACGCTTTCTAATGCTTTCAATGCACTAAACAGGCATCTTTAAAACAGTGAGACACCTACCCTAACTTAGTCTGGCCGAGGTTCTCAAGTGAGAGTCTATGTACACACTAAAAAAATTGAACCTAATCCTTCTGTTACAGAATCTGCAGAGGACAAAACCCACATCCAGTTTAAAAAGCTTTCTGGTGGTTTGATATAAAATCTGCTGAAGAGAAACATTACTAAAAGACCAGAGGGCTGTGGAGATTGCTCATTTGGTAAAGTGGCTGGCACCCAATCATGAGGACCTGAGTTTGGATCCTGAGCGCCTGTGGAAGAAGCAGGCACGTCAGCACATGCCTGCAGTCCCAGCACTGGGGAGGTGGAGAAGGGAGGAGCCCTGGGGTTCGCTGGCCAGCTAGTCTAGCTCCTAGGTGAGTGTGAAACCGTCTCAAAAAAGTAAGGTGGACAGTGACTAAGGAAGACAGCTGACGTCAAACTCTGGCCTAAACATACACATGCATGCTCATCTACAAACATCTACATATGCACACGCTAACCCATACATAATACTTACAACAGTAAAGAGTCTGTGTCGAAAGTCCATAGAGAGAGTCACATACACACAGCATCTCATCAGGAATTTATCTAGTGGCTTACAAAACAAGGCTGACTAGCCTGAAATGGTCTTCTCAAAGTAAGTCTTTTTTAGTTTCTGATCTCTTACAACAGTTAAGACGTGGACCACCAGGTGTACGGATGGCTTTGGCCTTCCTTTCTGTTTAGCTAAGACACTGTCACCCTGCTTCTTCACAGTCTTTGTGAGGTAGTTAAACATTACACTGGGGTCTAGTTGTGCAGTCCAGTGGAAAAACCCTGGTTAGTATGTCCAAGGCTCTACTTTCCATTCTCGGCATCAAAAACCAATAATCAACTTTCTGCTTATTACAGAAAGAGCTTAATTTGGATTAATAAAAAAGTTAACACAATGGTCACATTTACGATGGTTTATTTGGTCAGAATTTCAGAACGACCCGCATTAAAAAAGAATAAGCACATAAAATCTTCTTAAAGGCAACTCTTACCTCTTGAGAATTGTTTCCATAGTGTCTCTGGCATTGAAGTCGAAGGGTCTGTAACCTTCCCGCTTAAAGGCAAGTACTGCATTAGGCCCTAGCCAAATACTGCCGTCCAACCTTGGTGTAAAGTGAACTCCTAGGAAGGGCACACGGCTGTCTGGGACCTGCAGATTCAACACAGCAACGAACAATTGATTAGCCTCATCTCACATCCCACCTGTATTACACAGACAGACATCTAGCTGGTGATATAAGGGAGCTCCTTCCAGACATCTGTATGCATCATTAGCCACACTCAGACAGGCTTCTCTACTGACATGGGTGCGTTCTGGTTTAAAATGCTACTGACATTAATATATATATTTTCACTTATCCATCCTTCTGGAAAAGAGGGGAAAAGATTAACTGTCCTATTCACATTATTGCCTCTTTCTCCCATGAGAGAAGCCTGTGACCAGCAGGAAAAACAGAGGTGCCAGGAGAAAGAATGTACATATTTATAGCATGGGCCTCAGTGAGGCCCGAAGCAGCAGATGAATTTACTTTTTGGTAGGGTCAAAAACACCAGTTTCATCTGGTTCAACCTAACATATTTTCCAGGACTTGTCCATCAACAAGGTTAGTGCAAGCAGAAGAGCGAGCTCTCGCTTAAATGCCGCTGGCTTTTACCCTTTTCTGCTCCTATGCAGAGTGCACTGATGAGCTGGGTATCTGGATCTCCCTTCCTGCTCCTCCACCTCAGAGGGAGGGCCTGGTCCTTAGTACCTCCACAGTGTCCTCACGCTTTTTGAGACGTGCAGCCCACAGAGCACAAGGTGGCTTTAGGGATGTAGCCACTGGCGATGAAACGACACGCCCAGTCCTCCAAACCCTCTCTTCTAATGCTGGTAGAACTTTTTATTTTCATTTCTTTTGTGCCTACAACCAGCTTGATGAGTGAGACAGAAGTATCATCACTTACCGGATAAATATTTCCTTTCACAAGGTAGCTCTTCTCGGGCTTTAAGAGCAGGTAATCTCCCCGGAATGGGACAATCTGAGGGTCAGGGTCGCAGCCGCTCAACTCTGAAATACGGTCTGAGTAAAGTCCAGCACATGTCACAACGTAGCGACACTGAATTTCCTCTCCCTGGAACAAAAGAAAAGAGCATGGTTAGGCTCCAAAAATGAGAAAGAAGGTGCGGTACTTGTCTATGTGTGAAAGCTAAAAAAAAAAAAACAACCTCCAACTAAATGGAGAATTAACAAAGGAAGGTTGAGTTTAATCAACAAACTGTATGTACAGATGGCAATAGCTCACTGAATTACATAGTTGATGTATGCTAAGTAAGATATTTTTCCGAGGGGTGGGGAATGCAGGCAGTCTTACTATGTAGCTCTGGCTAACCTTGAACTTCACCAGGTCCCTGAACTCACAACGATGTACCTGCTTCTACTTCCCAAGTGCTGGGATTAAAGGCATGAGCCCCTGTACCCAGCTATATGATATTTAAAAAAAAAAAACAATATGCTGGTATAGGGACTGGAGAGATGTTTCAGAGGTTAAGAGTACTGGCTGTTCTTCCAGAGGTCATGAGTTCAATTCCCAGCAACTACAAAGTGGCTCACAAACATCTATAATGAAATCTGGTGCCCTTAGGTGAGCATGCAGGCAGAACATGGTATACATAATAAATAAATATTTTTTAAAAATGCTTGTATAAAGAATAAATAGGTCAAAAGAGGAAAACGAGAAGCTAAAAATAAGGATAAATAAAAGTTTTTCTTTCTTTTAAGATTATTTATTTATTATACATATGAATGTCTTGCCTTCATGCATACTAGAAGAGGGAATCAGATCCCATTACAGATGGTTGTGAGCCACCACATGGTGCTGGAAATTGAACTCAGGACCTCTGAAAGAGCAGTCAAGTGCTCTTAACCATTGAGCCATATCTTCAGTCCTATCTTTTTTTTTTTTTTTAAGAAACACATTTTTTTTTCCTAAAAGAAGAAATTCAACTGTAACTATCAGCAAAATGGGGACTCCCCTTTTTATAAAACTCACAAAAATAAATTTGAAAGCTGAGTATGGTAGTGGTTAATTCCTATAATTCTAGAACTTGGGAGGCTGCTGAAACAGAAGTGAATTCAAGGCCAGCCTGGACTACATCCCAAACACCAGAGCAGGGCTACTTGGCAAGACCTTATCTCAGGAAAAAAAAAAAAAAAAATCTGCGATAGAGTTAAAACCTATGACTACAGAATGCAAGAAAACATGAAAGATGCTCCTTGACATTGGCCTTGGTGACCATTTTTGTCAACAGGCACCACAGACCCAGGTAAAAGAAGCAAAATTGAACAAGTGGACTACACCCAACTCAGAGCTTCTGCACAGCAAACGAAAGGCACATGCAAGCCTGACAAGAGTCAATTCCTATTACATATGAGGAACTCAGTGGGAGAAAAGTAATGACACAATTAAAACTGGGGAAAGGCGTTGCGTGCGCTGTAATTAATATATGCTGGTAGAAAACATTTAAGAAACCATGCGGTGGCTGACTCCTGAGGAACCGTAATTCAGGTTGTGCTCTTACTCTCACATGGATACATACGCATGCGCATATGCACACACATGTATCCGTACACACTTGGACATGCACAAAGACACAGCAATCATTCAATAATTCAATTTTGCAAGGAAATAAAATTGAAAAACAGCTTAAGAATTTTTACCTTAGTGTTCGTGACAGCAACTGGATATTTCATTCCTGGCAGGGATAAAAAGAATTAGTGAAACTTTTGTTTGAGCCAAAGAAAGCCGTCATTATTTAAAATATTATACCAGTAACAAATTGAAATGATTATCTTAATTGTATTTTAATTTTCATTCTGAAGCTTTTTACCAAGTAAGAAGACTAAAGCAACTCCTATTTGACAAAATATGAAACTCTAGAGTGGTTCTTTAAATTCATTTAATTAATACATATTCTCTCGCTTACCTGAGCACAGCCCCAACTTTTAATAACAATACCATGCTCTGCATGTACAGATTTAATTTAAGTGGATTTAATTTAAGCATGGGCTATTGAACACAAGACGACCTTGCGTCCAAGTGTCGGTAACATGATTCCTTGCAGTCTGGGTCATTCAGAGAAGCAAGAATTTCACAACAAAAAATTCCAATAATGAACTGACCATTTTTCAAGTTTGTTCCACTTACTGCTGAGATACTAACATCCTATAAAGCATATGTAAAAGAGACTACTATCTACCTATGTTGTAGATTTGACTCACTCTGCTACCCACTTATAACAATTGTATCTAGATTGTAGAAGGATGCTGGGCAAGTGAGTCATATAATCCAGACCTTCTTTAACACCTGCTAAGGAAGAACTTGATTCTCCCTCAAATTTTCCTGCAGTAAATAGGCTTCTAAGCCTATCTGACTAAAACCAAACCACAACAAAAATTTATCCCAAAGCAAAATAAAACATGCTTTACTTCAGTCTAAGATGGGCATAGGAGGTCAGACTCAGAATGGCTCAGTCTTTTTATGATGTTAGTTTGCTGTTTGAAATTTGGGTGTGTTCAAAGATAACCAACCAGTTACTATTCCTAAGTCATATGGCCCGACAGTCTGATTCAGGAAGGCTAGATGGTGCTAAAATCTGCATTTATAGTAAGCATTTATAGAGTTGGCTGAGAGGTGCCAACTTTAGCCTTAGGAACTGTCTGGAGGCCAACTGTACGGAGCAGCCTTGGCTCTTCAGACTTCTGTGCCAGTCAAGTGTCAACTCATGAACTCTAGGAATTCTGGGTGCCCAATGTCCCTTCTGCAGCCACCTCTGGCTCTGTGTCCCACACTAGCCCGGCTCCTGACAGTCTCCTACTAGTACCACCCAGAAAAAAAAAAAACAGTCCTTTTTTCTTTTTCAATCAAAACACACTTTTTATAGAGAAGACAGGGATAGCTTACCATCCTTACTTCTTGAAGGACTTTCTTTAACTATTTCAATATCTTTTACCTCAAAATCTTTCAAGATAGAGCCACCTGCCTCTTGGAAATCCTGGGCAAATGACAAAGCTACCTGCTGGTAGTTCACAATGCCAGTATATGGGCAATCAATGGCCATTAGACCCTAGGACAAACATACAAAAAGGTGAAATAATACAATCAAGAATCAGTAAGGTTTGTTCAAAGTTTTGTTTTTGTTTGAATTTCTGTATTTGTTTATTTTGTTGGGTAACAACACATTATCCTTGCTTGACAATTATTTGGTCATGAACATGTATATATACACACACATACTGTATATAATATACAATATACATACACTATAATAATCATATACACACATATATGTATACACACACATACATCAATATAAATAAAATGTGTCTACTAGAGGGGAAAAAAACGATACTAGCTAAATAAAAACATCTCATAACCAGGAAACAATTTTCCTTCATTTTTTTTTAAAAATAAAGATGCTTGATTTTCAAAGCTGCCCCAGATTGCCATCTTATTTTTTTTTTTTTAAGATTAATTATTATTCAGGACAGTTCATTTCTGACTCTGAGGTGATTCACACCCGATTTTGAGTTGAATTCTCAAAAAAAAAAAAAAAGTATTAAATAGCCTGTAAGGAGACCTTTGCAGTGGTGAACGTGTCATGCCAGCCAGCGAAAACGCAGAGCCTCTCTACCCCCTGGCCACACTGCACGCAGGGCACTGCCAGGACGGCTGCAGGTCTTTTCTGCTTGACCTTAAATCGGGTGACTACTTCACTTCATTCAGGTAATAAGAGAAATGAACAGCCTGGCGCTGTTGTTTTTCTGTCACTGAAGACATGAATTTAGACCTAAACTCATACTCATGCTCCCCTTCTCCCTTCCTCCCCTCCTTCCTTCCCTTCCTTTCTTCCTTCCTTTTCTGTGAACGTGGTGAATGTGTCACTGGCCTGAAGAAAAGGAAAAGAACAGTATACCTCACGGTAAATTCCGAGTGTGTCTTGGTGCCCTTTCAGTGTTATACACACATCAGTTATCACAGTCGTTTTCCTTAGAAGGTAATTAGTTCCCAGATAACTAATGCCCAGAGCTGAGTGCAACCAGTCGTTTCTTATGTCTTTTTGTTTGGTCAACACAGCAATATTGTTAATTTTAAAAATAATATTTGAAATGGCATTTTCATTGGTTCACTGCCCCACCCCCTAAAAGCTTTTCACTTTCCCACCCACCCCCAAACAATGACTTCAGATGCCCAGGTTGGGCCAGGGCTCACAAAACATTACCATTTGGTAAACCTCACCATTTACCTAACCAGGCTTGACACTAGAGCATGCAAGCCTTTGTTAGTGTTAGGAAATCCTTCCTGTTTTGACATGATCGACACACATGAGACTCACTGCCCAGCAATCCATAGGTTCACAAGTTAACAGCTACATTCAGTCTCAACTTACAGATAGGGTTCTGGGTGCAACAACTCTGGAAAGTAATATATCAACAGTTTAACCCATATAACATCCTAACCCAGCATTAAAAAAAAAAATGACAAGGGAGGGAAAGAAATGTTCTGCAAATGTGCTTCGTTCTGAATCAGTTCTTTAGAATACAAACATCCTCTGTATTCACTCTGTATTCCTGGTACCAGCACACAAATCACTCAAGTATTTCCTGAGTGAATAAACATTTGAGGTGTGTTTTTAAATGACTGCGTTTTCACCTTTCAGAACTTTAGAGAGTCTCCCTTCTGTTTTTCTCTTTCTGGTCTTGGATTTGCTCCTTCTTAGGCAGTGTTAGTGTTCCTGACTAAATGTGCATAGAACGTGTGGGACAAATCACCCCGGCCTGGCAGTCCAGTTCCCGGGTCCTGGCTGGCGGTAGCACAGTCAGCTGTAAAAGCAGTCTTTTATTCTCCTGATGTAACTGTTGTCCTGAAGGCTTACTGCTTCTGTCTGCTAACCAAGGCCTAGTCCTGGAAGCTTCTCCCCTCCTTACAATCTTTCTAGGCCTGTAATGTTTTCATCCTCTGAGACTTACTGCTGAATCAGCTCACCCTTTCTAGTTCTAAGTTCTGGCTAGCTGGCTCAACTCATTGTTCTGGCTCAAATTCCTTTCCTAGGTGCTGATTCAATCTTGTTTCTCTCTTGGCCTCTTAGTGAGTTGTTCTCCTTGGCTTCAGACTAATTCTAACAATCTGTTCTAATTTTCTGGATCCTTCGCATCCTCTGGCTCTTTCTGTCTTCACCTATGTCTAGCTCGTTCTCTCTTCAACCAATCTGTCTCTGTAAAACTCTCCCAGTACAACTGACTATAAATTCCGCGAACTTAACTGCCAGGAACTCTACTCCACTGAACACACTGCCTCTCAACTCACTGAGTCAATTGAGCCGACTAAACAGAACTGACCAGAACTCAGAAAGATCTGCATGCCTCTGTCTCATAAGTGATGGGATTAAAAGTGTACACCACCACGAGTGGACCTAAGCGTTTCTTTACCTGAAACTTGCTCTGTATCAGGCTGGCCTTGAACTTCGAGACCTGCTTGCCTCTGTCTCCTAGAATTAAAGGCATGTCTGTATTGCAGCTGATCACACAGACCAGGGTCTTTGGATGTGATCTCTTGCCAGAGCAGCCATGTTCTGAATTAAAATTCTACAGTCAGCTGAGATGGGGCTTGTGGACAGACTCTCAACCTGGAGGTTGGCCATGTACTAGCCAGATTAGCAGGTCAACAGCTTGCAAAATAACGCAATGGCAGGTCAAGTGGCTTTCATGCCACTAAATTAAATCGCTTATCTAATCTTCTAAAAAAAACCAAGAGGCAGAAATAACAGCCGAATCTCCAAAGCAATCAGTTCTGGAAAACCTGACAAAGTTTTTCTTATGTGAATGACCAGGAAAGAAGCACTAAGACTACTCATTTGCTCTGTGCTCTATTTCTGCTTTCCTTGGCCCTTTCTACCCAATCCTCCCCGGCTCAGCTTCCTGGAGCCACTTTTTATCTGAGCTACTGTAACTCAGACATTATACAGCACATACTATAAGTACGGCATAATAGAAGAGACGGTAGGACAGAATACAGTCCATTCACAACCCAGACACACAGACACTCGCTGTCAAAAAGGGGTACTGCATGCAGCAGAGGATTACAGTCTCTCTGTAAAGGCTGCTCTTTTAGTCAACTGGACATTCCTAAAAGAGGAAACATACCTTGACCTATGTCTCATGCTACATACAAAACTCAATTCCAAGGAAAAGGTAAAATGCAGTTATTAGAAAAACACATAAAGCACTTATTTTACAGAGTGTGGGATAGGAAAAGATTTCTCAAACAGAATACTAACGGCACTAACCATTAAAAAAAACACATAAGCTACTAAATTGATTACATTAAGAACTTCTGTTCATCTGAAGATACTATTAAAATAAAAGGACAAGTTACAGAGAGGCAGAAGGTACCTATAATGTATATTTAGATGTACTAACAAGTATACATTTATGTACACAACAGATATTTCCAGGCTATGTAATGAATTTCTAGACTTGGTGGGAACCAATATCTGTAAGAGGCAATAAACCCCATAGAAAAACAGGCAAACCTCTCAAAGAGGAGGAAGACAAAAGTTTCCAAGTGGGAAATAAACAAATGAAAGGTATGTAACACTGAGTCATTGGGAAAAGATAAATTAAGAGCATAATGTAATGCTACGGTCCGAGAATCTGTAATCTGAAAATACACAAACTTTTTCAAATATCAACAGGGTGCTTAAAAATATTTGAATTTGGGAACGTTTTGAGTTTTCTGAAATTTTGGATTAGGGATGTTCAACTGGTAAAGCAAACATACCCATATGTGAAAGACTTCTGACCTGCTGCACTTTCAGTAAGACATACTCGGCTTGTACCACATCCCCACCAAAGTAGCTTCAGTGGAAACAGAGACCACGCGGTCAGTGAAGATACGGAGCAGCTGGAACTCTATATGACTGACAGAATAAACCAAGGGAGTTTGGAAAACTTTTTGGCAGTATCTGCCAAAGCTGAACATAAACACATACACTGTAACCTAACAATTTCTCCCTGAATTATATACCTAATAGCAAAAGAAACATGTATTTACTGAAACATATATTCTAGAATGTTCATTCATAGCAGCATTATTTGGAACAGCTTTTGGAAACTACCATGTGCACAAGACTGGTCGGTCACTTACCCTGCAATATGGTTCCTTCTTTTTTATGTCCTCCTGCTGGATCAGTCTCAAGCCTTGGACTCCATTTTGCAGGCCTCTCTCATACAGAGCCTGAAGTCTGGGAATTTCCTCTTGCTCAACAGCCACAATAAGCTTCAGAAAATGACGAAAATGCACGAATAGAGTTAGCTATAGAATATATAAGGTCAATGTAAAAATCATAAATTATCATATGTCTTAAACAAGGTTGACATAAAACGTTTTTCTTCCATAAATCTACTTCTCCCTTTGTTCATTATTTTCTTTCCTTCACCAGGACAAAAATATCTTAAGAAAATAGGATTAAAACTGATCCCCCCAAATGTGAAACGCTGCTCAATTTCCACTTCTTGCTGAGAGTCATAACATGGTCCCAGTCATATACAACTCTTATCATCATCACTTCCTCCTATCCCAGCAGCAAGAGGACTCGCTTGCAGCTTTCCCTTGTTTTTATGCATATGGGTGTTTTGCCTACATATTTGTCTTTGCACCATTTGTGTGCAATGTCAGTGGAGGGCAGAGGGGGTCATGGATCCCCTAGAACTGGAGTGACAGCTGGCTCTGAGCTACTACGTGGGTCCTGGGGATTGAACCTGGGTCCTCTGTAAGAGCAGCAAGTGCTCAGCAACACGCTGAGTCATGTTGCCAGTCCCCTTTACATCCTTCAAAGTAAGTACTCCTCTTATTTTCACAGGGAAATGTGAAATGCCAGTTCCGAAAGAAGACAGTCAGTAATCAGTGAGTGGGGCACCACTCTCAGCAAATTATTTTTTGATATCTTAAAAAAATTTCAGTCTTTACTAGTGTAGAGGGAATTATTATTATTAAATCACCTATTTATTCTTTAACTAATTTTATTTATTTATTCAAGACAGGGTTTTGGGGGTTTAATTTTATTTTGAGATAGGGTTTCTCTGTGTAGCTTTGGCTATCCTGGACTTGCTTTATAGACCACGCTGACCTCAAACTCAAGAGATGTTCCTGCCTCTGCTTCTCTGAGTGCTGGGATTAAAGGTGTATGCCACCATGACTGGATGGCTTTATTTATTTGTTTGTTTGTTTATTTGTTTATGTGCATTGGTGTTTTGCTGGTGCACACTGGTGTTTTGCCAGCTGCCATGTGAGTGCTGAGAGTTGAACCTGGGTCCTTTGGAAGAGTATCTAGTACTCTTAACAGCTGAGCCATCTCTCTAGCCCCTGAGAGAATTATTAATTAATCAACTTTCTTCAGAACACTTTTTCTATTTATTTCTAGGAAAGGTATCTAAAATTAAGTTTCTTATTTCACAGCACAACAAAACACAGATTCATGGGTATATTAGCATATACAAGTAACCACTTCATACCAAACTGTTTAACAGAATTCCATGAGGTAATGCTTTTGGTCAAGGTACAAGGCTACTTAAGTCAATAAATTATTAACTTTTTAAACAAAAGATGAGTTGAAGGGCCCAACCAAGAAAGTAAAAAGACAAGTCACAGAGTGGGAGTATTTGTAAAGCAGATAAATGTTTGCCATCTTGACCTCTTAAATCCAAAAACTTTTTACTTCTTTTTTTTACTTAACATTATGTCAAGGTCAATTTTCACCCTATTAAAAAAAGAAAAAATTGTAATTCATCATTTTTGTTTTTTTTTTTTGTTTTTTTAGCATAATGCATCTTTATTGATAGTAGTGAGCTTTCAGTCTTAAAAATATGGAGAAAGGACACCATGACCAACCCATAGAAATAAGACTCATAAAGGGTGGTATGAACAATTAACTGTATGAAAAAGAAAGTAGATCATCTAGATGCTCAAACTGTTAGGAAAAACCACCACCAACAAAAAACCTGAATAGAACCATAACAAGAGAATAGGAACGTCCAGCAGGATCCAGGCGCAGTGCTGCACACCCGTACTCCCAGCACTTGGGAGGCAGAGGCAGGCAGATCTCTATGAGTTCCAGGACAGCCGAGGAAGGCTGCATAGAGAACCCTGTCTAGAAAAAAATAAAACAAACAACAACAACAAAGAAAACTAAGTATAAAAAAAGGCAGGCAGCAAAGCCTTTACTCATTAAGGTTGCCACGCATTTAAGAATCAAACCTGATTCGTCATAACCACTTTCAAAAAATAAGTGAAGGAGGAGGAAACATTTTTTCAAACTACGTTTATGAAGTCCTACACTCCTCCCCTGCACCACTGAGCTACTCCTTTAGCCCTCATTTGTAAATACTGATGCAGAAATCTTGGACAAACCGTAAAATGAAATACAGCAACACAGACAGGGCCATATGCCACAACTTAGTAGGATGTATCACAGGAAGACAAGATCAACTCAGCATCCAAACGCTAGTTACTGTGTGATACACTAGCGCAATGAGGAAAAAACAGGAAACTCTCAACAGAAGCAGAAAGCTAACACTCTCACGTTTAAAAAACAAAACCCAGGGGCTGGTGAGATATCTCAGCTGGAAAAGGCACCACCACCAAGCCTAAACACCTGAGTTTGACCCTTGCACCCATATGGAGGAATGAAAGAATGCCTCCCGCAGGCTGACCTCTAACTTTATACACACAGCATGGCATATAAGCAAAAGCATGTGTGTGCACATACACACACGCATACACACACACAATAAATAGATGTAAAAAACAAATAAATAAAAGACACCCAAACTGAAAAAAAAAAGTCTACTTGTAGATAACAAGATCTTGCAGGCAGAAAAGCCTAAGAAACATGCACACATAAAACCCTAAAACAGCGGCCCTCCGTGGCGGGTTTTTGGCTTGTTTCCTGTTTTCTTCTTCTTCTGATGTCCTTCCTCTTTGCCTTTTGGGATAGGACTGAGCATTTTAGTCAGGGTCCTCTCTCTTGATTAGTTTCTTTAGATGTCCAGATTTTAGTTATCCTATATTACATGTCTATATGAGTGAGTATATACCGTGTGTGTCTTTCTGCTTCTGGGACAACTCACTCAGGCTGATCCTTTCCAGGTCCCACCATTTACCTGCAAATTTCATGATTTCCTTATTTTTCATTGCTGAGTAATACTCCATTGTATAGATGTACCACAGTTTCTGAATCCATTTTCAGTTGAGGGGCATCTGGGCTGTTTCCAGCTTCTGGCTATTACAAATAAGACTGATACAAACATGGTTGAGCAAATGTCCTTATTGTGTACTTGAGCCTCTTTTGGATATATGCCTAGGAGTGGTATAGCTGGATCTTGAGGAAGCGCTATTCCTAGTTGTCTGAGAAAGTGCCAGATTGATTTCCAGAGTGGTTGTACAAGTTTACACTCCCACCAGCAGTGGAGGAGGGTTCCCCTTTCTCCACAGCTTCTCCAGCATGTGTTATCACTCGAGTTTTTCATCTTGGCCATTCTGATGGGTGTAAGGTGAAATCTCAGGGTCATTTTGATTTGCATTTCCCTGATGACTAATGACGTTGAGCATTTCTTTAAGTGTTTCTCTGCCATTCTATATTCCTCTACAGAAAATTCTGTTTAGCAATGTTCCCCATTTTTTAAGTGGATTACTTGGTTTGCTGCTTTTCAGCTTCTTTAGTTCTTTATACATACTGGATATGAGTCCTCTGTCAGAAAAAGGGTTAGTGAAGATTCTTTCCCAATCTGTAGGCAGTCGTTTTGTTTTGATGATGGTATCCTTTGCTTTACAGAAGCTTTTCAGTTTCATGAGGTCCCATTTATTGATTGTTGCTCTTAGAGCCTGTGCTGTTGGTGTTCTGTTCAGGAAGTTGTCTCCTGTACTAATGAATTCTAGGGTCTTCCCCACTTTTTCTTCTAACCAACTTAATGTCTCTGGTTTTATGTTGAGGTCTTTGATCCACTTGGACTTTAGTTTTGTACTGGGTGATAAGTATGGATCAATTTGCATTTTTCTACATGTAGACATCTGAAAGGCTCTGCCCTGCAGACTATCAAAGCAGATGCTGAGACTTATGGACAACTGTTGGGCAGAGTGCATGGAATCTTATGTAAGAAGTGGGAAATAGTAAGAGCTGGAGAGGACAGGAACTCCACAAGGAGAGCAACAGAACCAGAAATTTGAACACAGGAGTCTTCCCAGAGACTCATACTCCAACCAAGTACCAGGCATGGAGATAAACTAGAACCCCTAGCCCATGGCAGTTTAGTGTCTAAGTGGGTTACATAGTAATGGGAAGAGGGACTGCCTCTGACATAATCTGATTGGCCTGCTCTTTGATCACCTCCCCCTGAGGGGGGAGCAGCCTTACCAGGCCACAGAAGATGACAATGCAGCCACTCTTGATGAGGTCTGATAGACTAAGATCAGAAGGAAGGAGAGGAGGACCTCCCCTATCAGTGGACTTGGGGAGGGGCATGCGTGATGAAGGGGCTGGGAGGGTGAAATCGGGAGGGGAGGGGGGCTTATGGGGGGACACAAAGTGAATAAAGTGTAATTGATAAAAATTAAAAAAAAATTTAAAAAACTAAAACAAAGAACATTAAGAAAACAATCCTCACATTAAAGCATCAATAACAATAAAATATGAAGGAACAAATTTAACAAGGAGTGGCAGGATTTACACATTGAAAACTACAAAGCAAGCCTGGCAGTGGTGTCATAGCCTGTAATCCCAACTCTCAGGGAGCAGAGGCAGCAGATCTCTGAGTTTTAGGCCAACCTGCTCACAGAGTGAGTCCAGGACAGCTAGGGCTACACAGGAAACTCTGTCAAGAAAAGAAAAGAAGGAGAGGGGAACGAAGGGGAGGGGAGAAAAGTACACAACAGTTGAAAGAAGTTAAAGATCCAAACTCATAGGCACGGGATGAAAGAGCTAATACTGTCAGGGTGACAGAATCTGGGGCTGGAGAGATGGCTCAGTAGTTACAAGCACTTGCTGCTCTTGCAGAGGACCAAGAGCTTCCAGGAACTGCAGCTCACAACTGCTTGTAACTCCAGCTCCAGGGGATCTAATGCCCTCTCCTCACCTCCATGGGCACGTGTACACACATGCATAAAAAAAATAATAAAAATTAAAAAAATTTAAAAGATGGTAACGTTCTCTAAATTGATCTACATATTAATACAATCTCTATCAAACTCCCAGCTGCCCTTTTGGAGAGATTGACAAATAGCCCTAAAAATCCTTTTGGAAATTCAAGGATCCACTAATAGCCAAAGCAATCTTGAAAAGTAAGCATTAAAGTTAAGGGACTTACATCCTGTATACAGGAATGTATACTAGTTGGCGATGGGGAAATCCGTATTTATGCTCAATTGATTTTATAGAATGGTGTCAAAACAATTCCTATAGACAGAAGATAGTCTCCAACAAATGATGTTGAGACACATGGGCATCTACATACAAAAGAACCAAGTTGAACCCTAACATACTCCAGTTATCAAAATTAATTCCAGTGTGCTCACAGACTCATATGTGAGCAATGAGAGATACAAAAGCTCTTAGAAGAGAAGTGCAGGAGCCAATCTTTATGAGCTAGCGTCAGCTGGTGATTTCCTAGATATGACCCTGAAAGCAAAGCCACACACAGTAAGCAAAAACAAAACCCCAAATCCCGGCTCTGGTCAAAATTCAAACCCTTGGCGCCTCAAAGGACATCATCGGGAAAGCAACAGGGAAGCCTATAGAATAGGACAAAACCAAAACGCTGAGAATCACATAGGTAACAGAAAACTTCTCCGCTCATGGGCTTCATCTTCCGAGACTTCAGTTACTCACAGCCAAACACAGTGCAAAAACATTAGATGAAAAGTTCCTGGGATGCGGACCAACATTTTGTCTTGCGTCCATGTTGTGTATGCCACACACTCATTGGTCATTCTGTAGTCACCTATGATACCAGATTGCACTATCGTGACTGTGGTCAGGCAGCCCCTATTACACTTCACAATGGCCCCAAAGAGCAAGAGTCCTGGTGCTGGCAAGTACTTCACAACAGCATAGAAGGACAAGTACAGTACAGTAAGGTGTTCTGAGAAAGACCGATCATAAACTTAAGCCCATAAATAAACTTAAGAGGGTTGGGAAGACGGCTCTGCGGGTAAAGTACTTGCTGGGCAGGTAGGAGGCCTTGTGCTTGGGTCTCCACCACCCTTGTGAGAACTGGTTTGCGGACATGAGCCTGTAATGTCAGCACTTGGGATGCAAGAGACAGGAGAATGAGATATAACTGAGGCTTGCTGGTGATATTCTAACCAATCAGTGAGTTCCAGGCTCAATTAATAGACCCGCTGTCAAGAAATAGGGTGGCATACGATTAAGAAACATACCTGATGTTGACCTCTGGCTTTCACATGTACACAAGCATATGCACACACACAAACACACACACTTTTCATACACACAAAGAAAAGGTACTTGGTATCATCATTAATCGCCACAATGAGGAAAGCCAGTTATACTGTTATAAAGCTATACTTCCACTGGGAGACTGAGGCAGGAGACCTAAAAAGTTCAAGGTTAGACTGAGCTACATTGTGAGACACTGTCTAAAAAAATTTTTTTTTCAATGAGGTACTATTTCATAGCTATCAGATTGGCTAAAATAAAAACATTATGGTGCATGCCTTTAATCCCAGCAATCAGGAAGGCAGAGGCAGGAAGATTGCTGTGAGTTTGAGGCCAGCCTGGTCTACAGGACAGCCAAGGCTACACAGAGAAACCCTGTGTCAAAAAAAAAAAAAAAAAAAGATTTTACGAGTAACTAGTAACATATGAGAATTGGGAACTTCATTAATTAAAGTGAAAATGTAACTGTACATTCTGGAAAAATGTTAGGCTGTTCCTTCAAATATTAAAGATGGAGTTTCCACAGAATGCAGAAATTCCGCTTGTAGGAATATTCCACTGAGAAATGAGAATGTGCTTCTATAAATGTTATACATAAATACTTATAACTGTATTATTCATAACAAAAAAATCGGAAACAACTCAAATGCATACCAGCTGACAAGCACCTAAACAAAATGAGACAAATCTGCATAATGGAGCCAGCCACAAGGACGGAAAACCTCCGAGAACATTATGATAAGTGTACATCTTTTTAAATGTCGTAAGTTACCACATGAAAAAAATGTTCTGACGTAAGCCTATTTATAAGATGTACATAAAGCAGGCAACAGTCAACCGGGTGTGGTGTGGTGCACGGTTAATCTTGGCACTCAAGAGGGAAAGGCAAGTGGATCTCTGTGAGTTCAAGGACAGCCAGAGGTACACAGAGAAAACCTGTCTCAAAAAACCAAAAAGAAGCAGGGAACTGCATAGAGACAGTGTTAGGGCTTATCCTGGGGGTGATGAAGATATTCTAAAATTAGTGTTGATAGGTACACAATTGTATAAGTATACTAAAAACCAAACTGTATGCTTATTATATTTCAATAAAAATTTATTTCTAATTACAGAAAGTCACAACATCATTTTTGTTATTCCTTAGTACTATATTAAATTACATAAGCACAAAGCAGGAAAAGTCACGTCTTTTTAAAACCTTCAACATTAAATGTAAGAAAATGCTTAGCCCCTAGTGAGCTGCTGTACCTTGCCACATTGCCTGTAGGGAATTCCCTTGAGATTACAGTACTCATAGATGAGGGCTGCGCCTTCTACGCACAATTTTGCTTTCAGAGATTCGGGTTTATAATAAATCCCACTATGTATGACACCACTGTTCCGTCCAGTCTGGTGAAGAGCTATGAAACAACAGAGACACGGTTAAAAAAAAAATGATAATAATAATAAAGTAAATTACTCACATAAAACCTAAGAGGTAAAGAACAGTTATACATATACATACATGCATACATATTTATATAATAAAGATACATACATGAAGCTATCAGAGCTCACATCATTTAAAAATCCTGCCTAGATCTGTTCTACTTATTGGCAAATTCCTATTTATTGGCAGCTATCCCTGGCATCCAAGCTAAATCACTTCTGCCCATCCTGGAGTTCCGCTTAAGCTTTCTTTAAACACCACTTCATCAAGCCACTTTAAAGGCCTGCCAAGACTCTCTGCACATATTCCAAGGCCTTTTCTGGCTTTTTGGAGGAAAGTGGAGATGTTAGCATCAGTAGGGACAACCCTAGAAGCTGATGGATGAACACGCACAAATTGGGGGGTCCCAGTGAACTCAGCTTTCAGCAGCACATTTAGAATGTGCCCTCATGTGGTCTTCCTCCCCTCATCCCTCTCCTCTTCTTGCTGTCTCATATAATCACTCAAGTAAACCACCTCCACGAAAACTCTTGTTCCAGACTTAGCATTCCAGAGAACCCAAAATGAGACACTGACATCAACATTTTTCATAATTGATTCAGCCTGACAAAAATAAGCAGGTTCCCACTAGGGCACACGTACCTAAATTCTTCTCCTTTTCCACCACACCAATTGAAAGTCCGGGATGTTTCAGGATGAGTGTTCTGGCAGAGGCAAGGCCCACAATTCCGCCGCCGACAATGACAATGTCAAATGAGCTTTAAGAGAAGCAAGCTTTAAGAATTTATGTTTAAGTCAGACATGGTAGTGAGTGTCTTTAATCCTAGCACTTTGGAGACAGAGGCAGGCAAATCTCTGTGAGTCTGAGGCCAAGCCTGGTCTACAAAGTGAATCCAGGACATCCAGAGCTTTTGCTACACAAAAAATCCTGTCTGAAAAAAAAAAATTTATATGTGTATAGACCTTACCAAACTTCACTTGCATAATTTTCATTAATGAGCAATTAAAATCCTAATTTCTAATAACATTTGTTATTTATATATTATATAACACATATAATGGATATTTATAACATGTTATTTATATATCCGGCTCTTTGCTCTCCCTGACAGAACCAGAGACTGAAGTTCTGCTGGGACTAGTGTCTGAATGAATCTTCTGGCCATTGACTCTTCCTCACTTTAGCTCCAGCCATGACGCAGTGTTTACGGCAGGCTCCTGGGTGGCAGGAGTGTTAGGGTAACTGTGGACTGAAGTGGAATGTGGGTGCTGAGGGTAAAGACCCACTACATGAGACAGATGACGGATGCCCCAATGGAAGGATAGGCTGTGGCCAAGATTTTTCTCTCCACAGGTGGTATAACAGGCCCCCAGACCTTAGCACAACTAACACCATGTTGAAGGCACCATTCTGACCTTAGAACCTAGCACGTAGGCCCCAAATACTGCCAAAATGGGAACAAAGACCTTGCCCATAGTTCCAGGATCCAGGAAAGTCCCTAAATGTACTAACCTTGCTTTTTGGCTTCCATGTTTTTCCCTTTTCACTAACTGTTCCTGCTAATCGAAGTGTATCAACCAGGATATGGTCTTTCTGTCAAAGAACAGTGAGGCTCAGGGCTGCATGATTCAGGCAGGCTCCCTGCGCATCCACTGCTGGCAAAACAGACTTCCTACTCAGCTTTGAGAGTGCCCGTGTGTGCTCTCTGATGGAATTACCTCACAACAGCACGGCTGGTGTCTCATCACTTGTCCTCCCTGCACGTTCGTTTCCTCAGGGGAGAGTCATTCTGTACCTGCCAATGAGTGAAAGATCCTTCTTGGGGATTCAGGGTGTCCAGGGCAAACAGCCCTGCCCTTGAAATGTAGTTACCCTTTCCTGATTTACAGAGTTTAAGCTGTATCCTTCCATAAGAAGCATGGCCATTTGGCCCCTAGCGGAAGATGAATTCAACCTTTATAAAAATTAAATAATCAGAACCAGGTGAACCTGCAGTTTGACCCCCAACAACTCCAGAGGTATTGTTGGCATTCTTATATAAATGTTGATCTGGCTGATCCCCTGCTGGCCACACTTGATTGGCACCCATTTCTTACCAGTGTCCCTGCTGACCATGACAGAAGCCTGCACTTGGCAGACATTGTTCATTGCTACCAGGACAGGCACTGTAGCTCAGTGTCTGGCTGAGCTGTGGGCAGCCGTTAGGCTTCATCTTTGGTAGGCCTCAGGAGCTGACTAACAGCTGGGCCCTACCATCCTGGTGGACACTTGTACCTAAGTCCATAATGAAACATTTTGCAAAAGTAACTTTTATTTGCCTGGTTCAATTGTTGTCTGGGAGACCTACTACCTTTTTCTTCAAACCTAGGCTGGTCATGAAACCTTCTAGGCTCAGTACAACCTAACCTAGGCCAAGAATATTTTCAGCCTCTGAGACTTACTGCTTAATAAGCTCACCCTGCCGAGTTCTTTCTCAGTTTGGGGCTGGCTGGTTCAACTCAGCTATTCTGGCTCAAACTCCTCTCCCAGCTGACTTACTCAATCTAGCTTTTCTTTTAGCCTCTGAACTGCTCTATTTGGCCTCAAACTAACTGAAGCAATCTGCTCTAATCTCCTGGCTCATTTGGTCTTCTCCTGAGTTCTCTCTCTGCAGCCTGTCTCTCTATTACTATTTATTAACATTCTGGTAAATACTCCTCCCCCTCTCATTGCCCCTTAAGTAGTTTCCTTTTCTTTTTTCTTCTTTCTTCTCGTGAGAATTGGGCATATCTTAATCTGTCAAGTCTTTCTCTGATTCATCACTGTTTTTGCTATTCAATTAGACATCACTATCAAACATGTGTGCGTCCTACAAACTTCACCTTCATCGTTTGGAATTAAAGGCACGAACCACCATGCCTGGACCTAAGCTTTTCTTTTCCTGAAACTTGCTCCATGCCACCAGGCTGGCCTTGAACTCAGATCTGCTTGCCTCTGTCTCATAGATTAAAGGGGGTGTTTGTATTCCAGCCAGAACACACAGACCTAGAAAGTCTTTAGATGTGATCTCTTGCCAAAGCAGCCATGTTCTGAATTAACATTCCTCTACAACATTTCTAAGTCCAAATTTAGGAAATTGCACAAAATATTATTAAACTGTATAGAGCTACATGCCAAGTGCATGTAAAACTGATGAAACCAGAACAGCGTGTGTACATTGTATCAATATTAATTTTCTGGTTTTGCTGTTATATTATGCTAACACTAGGGCAAATGATGGGGAAGGAGGAAGGCGACATAAAGCCGTTCTATGATTTTTGCAACTTTCTATGGATCTACAATTGTTTCAAAATAAAAAGTATTTAAAAATTGGGATAAGGCTGGGCATGGTGGCACACACCTTTACCCCCAGCTCTTTGGGAGGCAGAGGCAGGCGGATCTCTGTGAGTTCAAGACCAGCCTGGTCTACAAAGTAAGTCTGGGACAGGTAGGGTTCTATTACACTGAGAAACCCTGTCTCAAAAAACAAAAATAAATAAATAAATAGAAATGGAATTAGGAAAATGGTTAATTGATAAAAGTGCTTGCCTTGCACGAATGAGGACCTGAGTTCGTATCCCAAGCACCTCTGTAACCTTGGGGTTGAGATAGGGAGAGAGGCAGAGCCCTGGGGCTTGCTGGCCAACCAGTCTCCTTAAGAGACCATATCCCTCCTCTACCTCTCCAACCCCGAGGTGATGGCGCACATCTTCAGTCCCAGCACTAGGAAGGCAGAGGCAGGACAGCCAGGGCTGTCCCAGAGAAACCCTATCTGGAAAAACCAAAGAGAGAGACAGACAGACCTTATCTCAAAAATTAAGGTGAAGGGGTGGAACATGCCTTTAATCCCAACACCTGGAAGGGAGGGACAGGTTGATCGCTGAGACTTTAGAGGCCAGCCTGATCTACATGGGGAGTTATAAGACAGCCAGGGCTATATAGGGAAACCTTGTTTTGGAGAGACATGAAACATCAGTACTTAACAGCTTCCATGGCCCTCAGACCAAACGAAAACACTGCTATGCCACTGCCCCTTCTCCACCGTCTTTCCACACCTTTGTCTTTCACTGAATCACGCTCCTATTGCTCGCCTTCTTGTCTCGAACAACCAAAAGCTTTCCCCCTTACAGCTTTCACACAGAACCCCGGATTTGCTGGCTTTCCTAGGCAGCTCACGGTAGGCAACTGCGTTGCCTCTCACGGGGACAACTCAAGCGTGTGTAAGGAACTGACCGACTGAAGCCCAGTTCTGGATCTTCCAAGCAACGCAGGGAATGCCAGCTAAGATGCAGCATACTTATTTAGAGTGTGCTAGGTCCCTTTATCCTCAAAATGCCCACCTAGAGAAGCCCAGTCCCCGTTCACCCTTTAAAGTGGTTAACAGGGAGGGGGTGTGTATTCGGAGGCAGATTCGCTCCTGACCTCCACTCAACGCTGCCTCTCCTCCAGCCCACAAAATGCTGCGGATGAGACCTACAGGTCAGCAGCTCCCGGAGTCCGAGGCTGGGCCACAGAGTCGGGGCACAGGTCGAGTTCCAGACACCTCTGGGGGAGCAGCAAGCGCAGGCCACCGCCACTCACCTGGTGCTGGAGCTGCGACTACCGCCGCACAGCAGCCTAGGCCCCCGGGACGTCGGCCCGCTTGCCCGGAGGATGTCCCCAGCCAAGCGGCATCGGGCCGGCTCGCAGGCGCCGCCCAGGTAGCGCAGGGTGGACCACATGGCCTGCGCCACCTCTTTCTCCAACCTGAGAAGCTACAGCCGGAACGACCCTACGGGAGGGTGGGGTGGGGGAAACGGGCGGCTCTCAGGCCCCGCCCCCAAGCGGGGGCCAATGAAACACGCGCTTTCGCCTACTGTGGGCGTGGCTCCCGCTGGCCAATGGGAGAGCGCGGCGGAGAGAACGGCTGCGGGCGGAGGGCGGGCCGGACGCAGGACGCCGCACTCAGTGAGTAGGGAAGCGAGGGCGCGGGCGGGGCCGGGTGGTGGTGCCGGCCTCCCGGAGCTACGCGGGCGCAGGCTTGGCTGGACCCCGGCGCGATGCCGAACAGGCCGAGTGTAGCGGGGTGACCTCTGGCTCCCGCGGTCACGCCCCCTGGCCAGTTGGCGACCCCTCTGGACGGTGAGCCTGGGCTAAGCCATCTCCTGCCGCTCTCCGTCGCTACTGGCTTCTGGGCCCTTCGTGGGGCTCCTGGGTTGTGCTGTTTATTCGACTGCTAACTCGGATTGTAAATATCGGGCTCTAAGCTAGGTGCTGGACCTAGCTCGGTCCCTCTCTTCATTGAGTGCGTTTTTTTTATGACTGTCTTATTTATGTGCAATATGTGTGTGTGTGCCTCTGAGCTTAGGTGCAACAGGTGTGCTCAGGAGCTCGTAGAGACCAGAAGGAGTAAAGGATCCCCTGGAGGTGGAGGTTTGGGGCAATTGTAAGCCGCCATTTGTGTGCTGGGAATCAAACCTGGGTCCTCAGGTATGACCAGTTAGCAGTCACGGGACCATCTCTCCAGCCCCAACCGTTTCTTTACTTACTTTTCTTTTTTAATTTTTATTAATTAATTTATTTACTTTACATCTCTACCACAGTTTCCTCTCCTCTCCCGCTTTTCTGTTTCTCTTCTCAAGGCCTCCCATGGATATCAACTAGTCCTAGCATATAAAGCTGAAGTAAGACTAGGCACAGCCTCTCCCATTGAGGCTAGACAAGGCAGCCGAAGAGGAGGAAAGGGTCCCAAAGGCAGGCAGCAGAGTCAGAGACAGCTCCTGTTCCCACTCTTAGGAGTCCCACTTGAAGACCAAGCTACACAGGTGTAACATATGTGTAGAGGGCCTAGGTCAGGCCCATGCAGGCTCCTCGGCCCGGCCTTTTCTTAATCACTGGACCGAGATACAGTTTTAAACGTCCATGCCTCAGAACAGACCCTCAAAAGGCAGGGCCTTTACTCATGGTACCTCTACTGTGAAAATGAGAGCTATGTAGTCCCTTAAAGACCTTATAACTCTGTAAAGCTGTTTGATTCTTTGTCACCATAGCAATGTAATTCCTATTCTCTGCTTGATGGTAGTTCTTCAGTTTTAGTGTTGGAACAGCTTACCCGGACAAACTATTGCTGGAAGGACTCGCTGGTGGGAATGTTGGTTCCAGCTCAGGCTCAGGGAAATCCCATCATCCCCGCATCAGACGTGACTCTAGTTACTAGGGCCCTTGAGCAGATAATAGTGTATATGAGGAGATTCATCACAGGTGGAGCTCAGCAAAAACATTAGCTTTTTATTATGTGGGAATGAATCTCATGAGCAGGACTAGATATTTTGTTTCATTGATGGGAAAGAAACTCTGTTCCCTGTTTATTCACACGCAAATAGCATGGATAGTTGTAGCTTAAATTCAGTGTGTTGTAATTGTAGGTTCTCATGCAGTTTGCTTTTGATATGACAAGTATCATGACCAAAGCAAGTTAGAAGGGAAGGATTTATTTCATATTACCGCTTATCCATCGGGAAGAGAAGTCAGAGCAGGAACTGAAGTGGAGGCCCTGGAGGGGTGCTGCTTACTGGCTTGCTCAGTTTGTTTTCTTGTATACCTCAAGACCACCTGTCCAGGAATGGCACCTCCCAGTGTGCTTCGCCCTTCTTCCACACTGAATCATCAGTCAAGAAAATGCCCCACACTCTTGCCTATCATACGGAGTTTTCTCAATTGAAATTCACCTGTCCCTAGTTACTGTCAGTTTGATCAAAAATTAACACAATTGACCACTTGTCAACTTGACACAAATATATCACTATTAAACCATAAACTTTCCTTTCTTGTTTGTTCCCAAGATGCTATGTTGCTATTAATATCACAGTATAAAACATAGTATAACTTTTATATGCATGTATGTTTGTGTACCATGTGTGTGCCTAGTACCCATAGAGGCCAGAATAGGGTACTGGATCCCTTGGAACTAGAGTTCCAAGTGCTTCTAAACAGCCATGTAGATTCGAGGAATCAAACCTGAATCCCCTGGAAGAGTAACCAGTGCTCTTAACTGCAGAGCCATCTCTGCAGCCCCCTAAATATAACTTTAAAAGTCCCACAGTCATGATGTCATCTGTAGCAGTATGTGCATCTTGGGTGTCTCTGCTGCTGGGCTGGACCTGCCAAGGGGTAGGATACCCCTTGTCAAGTGGAGCCCCTGGCAAGGAGAGCTCAGTTCAAATGTCGAAGGCACTCACCTACTTCATAGCACTGCCAAGGATGGAAGTGAAGATGCTCAATGTTTTCCTGAGGTTGCAACTAGAGACCTGAGTTGGTCACTTACTCCATCTCTGAATCAAGACCAAGCCCTTTCTCTGGGGCAGTGGTAGCCATACCCTCTTCCATAACTATTATGTTAATCCGTTTGCAACTGACTATGCAAAGGAATGAAAAATCAGGACCTTCACCCAGGCAACAAGGGGCTCACAGAACTGGGTATGACCATTACTCTGCATATGGACCACAAAAGCATCTGGTATGCTAAGCTCATCATTCCCTCTGACACATGATGGCCATTATACCAACCTCTGTCCCTTTGCTTGTGGGAGGAGATGGCTTAAATAAGTAACTTGAACTTTGGAGAGAGTCCAATGGTCTTTATAATTTTTAAAGCTTTGAAAGTCTCAGTTTGGGGTCAAGGTCTTTCTCCAAGGGGCTTGGCCTACCTTGGTTCAAAGAGCTCTGTGAGGTCTGGAAATTGGCTGGCACCCAGATTCCTTATTGCTATACTATAATGTAGATTTGTTCCTTTTATTTGTTCTAGAGTTTTTCTGTTTATGCAAATCAAGTAAAAACTTAGGCTTCTTGTTTTCTGAAAACAAGGCGAAAGATCAGTCAGTAGCAAAGGTCTGCACAATTCAGGCTATTTAAAAACATTGTTCTACCTCTGCTGCCCGTCACAGTAACTACACTCATTTTGCCTTGGGTGATTTAATGCTGCCACCTGACCCCTGCTGATCCAGGACTCAGACCTATCACATTGACTTCAATTGAACAGTGGTGTCTTCAACCCTAAGGTCTGGCACAAGGAAAAGCTCAACAAAGCAACAACAAAGCTCTTGAATGTACTAGTGCCTCTGTTTTCAGTTTTATAGGATTATTGAAAGGTGTGTCTTCTGGACCCTCCCATTGTGGAATACTGGGTTTTACGTGTACCTTCTCTAGCATTCCAATTTCCCTAAGCCTTAAAATTCTTTCATCAGCACTGAGCCAAGGAATGTTAGGCACCTCCAGCCCCTTTTCTGTAGCATCCTTATTTTGACACACTCTCCAGCCAACCAATCAAACTTCTGACTTTTATTTTTTTTAGCTCCGTGAGCTTCCATAATAAACCTAGAATCTCCACTCAGTGTCTCCATATCTATAAATTCAGCCTGATCCAGTTTTATGTTCCTTCCATCATTATCCCATATCTTAAAATCCCATTCCCATATGTTTTCCCCAGATTTCTGCTTGAATGAATAGAAAACTCACTGAATGAAAATGAGGACATGACTGCTCCAAGGTACAGTGTAGAAGGAACTTTTAATTGACTGTTTCAATTTCAGTTGTCTCTGAGGCTAACTGCCTCTGTCTGCTAACCTAGGCCTAGTCCTGGAAGCTTCTAGCTTCCATACAATCTTACCTAGGCCTAGAATGTGTTCAGCCTTTGAGACTTACTGCTGAATAAGCTCGCTCTTTCTTGTTCTTTCTGAGCTTTGGGCTGGCTGGTTCAACTTATCTGTTCTGGCTCAAACTCCTCTTCCAGCTGACTTATTCAATCTGGCTTTTCTCTCAGCCTCTGAATTGCTTTTGGTTGGCCTCAAACTAGCTCCAGCAATCTGCTTTAATCTTCTGACTCCTTCTCATCCTCTGGCTCATTCAGTCTTCCCCTGAGGTCTCTCTCTGCAATCTGTCTCTCTATTACTGTCCCAGTAAAACTGCCTCCTCTCTTTCTGCATTGCCCCTTAGGTAGCTTCCCTTTCCTCTCTCTTCTCATCAGAGTTGATCATATCCTATTCTGCCAAATCTTCTCTGATTCATCACTTTTTCTGCCACTCAACTAAACATCACTTTCAAACATGGGTCCTTCCTTCTACAAACTAACTTTACCTTCATTGTTTGGGATTAAAAGCCTGTACCACCACACCTGGAAATAAGCTTTTCTTTACCTGAAACTTGCTCTGTACCAGGCTGGCCTTGAACTAAGATCTCCTTGCCTCTGTCTCCTGGATTAAAGGTGTGTTTGTATTCCAGCCACATCACACAGACCTAGAAGATCTTTGGATGTGATCTCTTGCCAGAGCAGCCATGTTCTAAATTAAAATTCCTCTACAGTATACTTGAGAAGGATTTTATTGTAGATAGTGAGGGAGAATTCAGCTAGAGGCATCTGGAAAGGGTCCAGACCAAACCAGGCTGGGAGAGGAGAGAAAGAGGAGCGGGCGAGCAAGAAAGGAAGAGAAGAGTGAGGTCAAGTGGACCCAGAGAACCAAGAATGGAGCCAAGAGAATGTGTAGCCAAAATGGCTGGGTTACAGGAATCAGAAGCTGGGGGGAGGGAAGGGAAGCCCAGCCTCTAGGCTGAAGAGGTTTAGGGTATGGGATGGGGTGAGAAGTACTGGGAGAAGGTACTGTGTGAGCCTTGTCCTGGGTTTCTTTGGGACCTGACATGTCAGCCTTTTTGTTGATGATAAGAGGCAATGTAATATATTCTGTAACTGCTTCTTAGCCGAAATTAGGGTGTTGTTAATAGTCAGGGGCCCAGAAAGGCTGGAATGTTGGTCAAAGGCCGAGAAGGGAAAGGACGGTAGGCTGGGTGGCATCTGTCTTTCTCACTGCCCGGGTTCTGAGGGACCACATGCAAGCCACTTTGGGGCAGTCTAGGATGCAGTTCTGAAGGAACACCTGGGGTTGGCACATTTCAGCAAGTTCTGGAGCAATTTGTAGTCTTGCAGTTGATTGGAAACCTGCTGGGACAGGTATGGACTAGGGACAGAAGAAAAATTAAGGAGTTTAGGGAAAAATCTTGATCTTAGGTATACAGTTGCAACTTCTAGGCCCAGGGTCCTGGTAGTTGGGAGAAAGGAGGAATTCATCATCACACCAAAATCCATCCTAATCCAAGATATTTTGGAGACCCACTGTTGCCTCCTTAGTCTAGAAAGGAGATAAAATGATGAGCAGAGGTCCCAGTAAGACTTGGAAGGATTGCTGCATTAATCGGCTTATACCATGTGGTCATCTTAATGGAGATAGTGGTAAGGTTACATTGTATGTACTCTATTTTAACCTTAGTAAAGATGGCTGCCAGCTACATGGTTGCTTCCAACCTGATGAGGTTATCAGACAAGATGGAGGTGAGGTTGCTATTTAAAACATCAATTTTCTTAGTAGATATTACTAATAAGAAAGTATCTATTTTTTTATCTTTTTAAATGAGTTGAATCCAAGTTACATATACAATATATCTTAAATAGAATCACATATATAGTAATTTGTAGCAAATTAAGATTACTTACGTGCAGATTTTTAACTGTAAGCCTTTTGTTATAACTTTTAAGCTAAATTTTGTTCCAGAGTTTGTTTTTGTTTTTTTCTTTAAAGAGGCCCACCTGGTTTTTTTATACAGTTTAATAGAAGTGACACCAAAGTAGTGAAGGTGATGTTGCTGAGCTGTTACAGGTGGACAGCGGTAAGCCAGCACTTGGGAGATGGATGCTATTGAATAAGGAATTCTAGGCAAGCCTCAACTACAAAGAGTTAGGCCAGCCTGAAATAATGAGACCCTATCTCAAAGAGAGAGAGAGAGAGAGAGAGAGAGAGAGAGAGAGAGAGATCAGTAATGTTTCAGTTTGGAAGTCTCCATATCCATCCCTGTATCCTAATCCAGTGGCTGCCAAAGACAGAAGGGGTTGAGGAGGGGACTTGGTCACAGGAACACTTCTCTGGCTGGTCAGCATATGGGAATGGGTTTCACCTCTTCACAATCTGAATGACGTCTTCATCTTCCAACGTATGGTCTTTACCCAGTTTCTGAGGATTATGCTTCACAGAGAGACCCCAGACCAAAGCGTATTTAAATTCTTTGATAAGATTTTTGTCGGGGCCTGGAGAGATAGCTCAGAGGTTAAGAACACTCACTGTTCTTCCAAAGGTCCTGAGATCGATTCCCAGCAACCACATGGTGGCTTATAACCATCTATAGTGAGATCTGGTGTGCAGGTAGAATGCTATGTAAATAATAAATAAATCTTTTTTTAAAAAGATTTTTGTGAATCTTCATGCAGAAATCTTCTAGCATTGTCCTTGAGTGAGGCAGTACCACTGGAGGTGTGTAACCTGGTAACTAGCCTTTGGGTTTGGTGTAAATTCTCACTAGTTTCAGATAGTCCCAGATCTTCTCCAACAGGTCATCAAAATTCCAGCAGAGATGAGCAGAAATGGGCATGCAGTGAGGCACCTTATAGATAATGTTCAATTCCTCATTGGAGAGCTGATCAATCTTATTTAATGCGTAGATACATGGGATATAAACTTGATTATCCTTCTCCCACATCAATGAGGCCATCAGCTGTGGCGTCACTACAGCATTATGAATTCTGTACTCAGCCAGAATGCTCTTCACTGTCTCAGCATCCAGTTCACTCTGAAGGCAAGTGGCTGTGAGATTAATGCCTCCCTTGTCTTTCTTCTTAAAGCCAGTGTTGGGGGGTTGCTGTTCAATCGAATCCCACAGCCTTCCAATTCATTTTCAGTTATCTTCTCATGTCCCAAAGGTTTTAGGACATCCAGAACAATCAAGATCAAATTACCAGTGTGGCCGCTGTAATGACTTGACAGCCTCTACCTTTCCCGTCCTTCAGTAATACCTGGGAGATCCAGGAGCTGGATCTTGGCACCTTTATATCTGATGACACCCGCACAGTGGTCAAAGTAGTACATTCGTAGGCTGCCACTTCAGAATACACTCATGCTAGGTTCCTTAGCAGAGTTGACTTCCCCTCAGATGGAAGACCCACAAACCCAATTCAGGCATCACCTGTCTTAGCCACATCAAAATCTTCCCTACCCCACCGCCGCCGCCGCTACCTTTTGGAGCGATGAGTTTCTTTGAAGCTTAGCGAGTCGAGTCGAGCCGTAAGCAGCCCAAGGCAATGTGCTGTAGCCTCGTTCTTGCTGAGTCCGAGCCATCTCGGCCTCTATCTCCATGATCTTCGCTAAGGTCCTGCTCATGGTGGGGACGCACTGGCCTTCTCACTTGCTAGATTCCTGTGTGCTCCGACCGCGCCACAGGCTGCTGCCGCCCCGTTCCAGAGTTTTTAACCATACCCAATTAACTTACAAGTTTTGAGATACCTTGCAGCATAGTCTTAAGAGGTTTTTGTTTGTTTTTGAGAGCAGAGAGCAAAGAAATAGTAGAGATAAAAGATTTTCAAGAGTGGAAAGTAGAAAAGGCTTAGAGATAAGAGGCTTTTGGGTATAGAGCACAGAAAGTTTAGACATAAGAGATTTAGGGATAATTTGTGTGTATGTGTGTGTGTGTGTGTGTGTGTGTGTGTCACAGTTGCCATATTCGAGAATTTGGAAATTAAGTGTGCGTTTTTTTGGCCATTGAAGTATAATGAGGTCAACCCCTTTGCAATAAGATAGTGAGGCTGTAATGAAGTGAGCCCAAGGAGGAAGAGAGAAGGAGTCAGTAAGGCCTGGGGGGAGCTAAGGAAACTGTGGGGCTCCCAGGAGGGATCTGAGAGATAGAAGGGATAAGCTTACAGACAGTAACTCCAACAAAGGAAGGGTCCTAACACGGAAGGGTCCCAGGAGGGCTTAAGCCATGGTACTGCAGCTCCTAGGGGGAGGCGAGGAAGCCCCAGGAAGGAACTAACAACAAAGGAGCAGGGGAGGGTCAGATGTCATGGTGACAATATTTCAATCCAGGGCATCCCCAGACAGACTGAAAGACTTGTCAGAGAGAAATGTCCCAAATCACCCAGGAGAGGTGTCCCTTCCATGTGGCAGGGGCCCAGCCCAGTAGGGCCAGAGGAACACACTGGCACACCAGTGTGGCTTTTGTAGTGACGTAGACAAAGTAGGCAGCGCTAGGAGGACACCTACCCAGTAGAGGAGGAGAGTCAGTGGTTAGAGCAGGTAGAGGAGAAAACAGGCAGTCCATGAGAAGCTTTCAGGAAAGGAGGGGCTCCAATAGAGGCAGAGATGCCCAGGTGTCAGACGCTCACTCGGTAGGCGGGGAGAGACTGGTGGTTAGAGTGGGTGGAGGGAAGAATTGGCTGAAAGAGACAGACTCTAGAATTTGGAGTCAAATTTGGTGGTTGGCAGAAGCCAGCAGAAACAAATGATCCGTACATACGTTAGGAGAGTCAAAGCAACAGCTTGCTTGGTTTGAAGAGGCTGAGTCCCTTGGAAGGGAGCTCAGATACCTCACCTAGGTTTCAATCAGTAGATGAACGAAAAGGAGGACATGATGGTTCCAGGGTATGATTGAGCAGGATTTTATTGTAGATATGAG